CTAATACATGGGTGCAGGGCGCAAATATCTGGTCGAGACATATCTGGCCCAGCCGAAAGTCCTATTACATAAACAGGAACGGAAAACATTTGTCGGACCTCGGGAAAGGGGGGGATACACGATGGAAAGAACAAGAGAACTAATAATGAGAGTTCATCTGCCAATTCTTCTAGCCTCCTTTTGTCCTTATGGGAGCACCTTTGGAGTGCCCGTATAACTGGTTAAACCCCAAGCCTATTCGGGAACTTGACCCGGTATGAGCTCCAGTAATCTTCGCCTACCACAGAGCGTCAGACTGACCAGAGACATGTGACTCAAAAGTGATCGCCGTGTCCGTAATCGATGGGAGGAGGATGATCTATCAAATTCCGACGGCTTTAAAACCGGACACAGCCCTACAGATCCCGAGCCCCACTTACCGGCCGGAGCTTGCAAATGCATCACTTCTATCCGATGGTGCTCGGATCTTACAGCTGAACGCCTCGTGGCGCTACACGTGCACTCATCCAGATGCGAGTGTTCGGAAATCCACATATAACCTCTTGACTTTACCTATTGAAAATACAATTTCACCCGGCTGGTATCGATTTATTTCTCCTACCACAATCATGATGGGTATCTCTCTGCCTGCATTCATGGGAAACATTGCCCCCTATCACTTCATCTCGTACGGGACCTTGCTTGGCACCACGCTCTTCCAAACATTTGTCAACACAAAGATCTGCCACAGCGAACTTCCCAGGTCCGCCTTTACAACATTGCAGAAACGCCTCTTCCCCGTTTTCTTCCGTTGCCAGGCAGTCCTCTTAGTTTTGACCGTCATCACGTTCCCCCCGTACGGCCCACCATCCCTGATCCGGGAGAAGCGCGACTGGATCCCACTCGCAATCACTGGTCTCACTACCATGGCCAACCTATTCATCTATGGGCCGAAGACAAGACAGGCTATGATTGACCGGATCCACCAAGGTGAGTTCTGAGTCCGAGCGCGGAGCTGGGCTGTCAGATGAGGGGGCGTCCACTAATGTACAGCAGAAACTCGTGATGCAAAACGGCCTAATTCCATTGACGAACCAAGCCCGGACATGAACGCCGTCCGGAGACGCTTTTCGTTCAGCCACGCCATGAGCATTCACCTCAATCTCATTGGCATTTTCGGCATGGTCTGGTACGGGGTAAGGCTGGCTTCCAAGCTGAACATTGAGATGGACTGAAATTTTATTGTTTGTTCAGTTTACTCGGTTGGACTTTGATACGGCTGGTTCCCCTCTATTTTGTGTTATTCTTCATCCGGTATGCCAATAGCAACCTGCACTTTTATCAGACATAGTAACAAATTCATTCTTGTTTTCACCTCTCCACAATGAAAATGCACCAGAACTCTGTCCAGACGTCTACATCATATGCCAAAGAAATATTTTGAGTTTCGAATGAGGCATTTGTGATCTACCATGTCCTTGACTCATCCTCTGAATTGGGATGATGCTACCCGGTTGTGTATGATACTCGAAGTTTTTGTTTCACGCATCGTACAACCTACTCGAGTGGCAAAGTAGAAGAAGAGTTGCCGCACATGGAGATCTCGCAATAGTTGAACTCTATGTGTTACACCAGTAACATCATCTCAAAGCTCGTCAAAAAGCACCGAGGACCCAGTGTCCTGAAGTATCTTGGTGGCCGCGTATCTCCTACAGTCTCATTATTCATGTGTATCTCCAAAATTTGCTATGGGCTCCTACTCACGGGTCGTAAAATATCAGCGTGTCCTGGGCACCCTCGGCGCTGATATCGTAAAAGTTTTTGCAATCGGAAAATGAGATCTTGGGCTGTCCCGCGTAGAAGTCATCGTACTTGACGTCAAGAGCATCGCGCAGGTTCTCGACGCCGCCTTCAGGGTGGATGTGCTTCCAAGGAAGCCTGCAGGTCTCTGCCTTGCAGCCCTTCAGTACCAATAAGAGGGCATCGAGGCGGTCTTGAACAACAGATAAGGGACGCTCAAGAAGCTGGCCGGAGGCCCTTCCGGCTAGGTTGACCATTTGGCCCGGATCCTTCTGCAACAGAGGTTAGTTAGGGTTCGAAGGGGTTTTCTTCCTTTCTTTTTCCCCCCAAAATAATATCGGATCTGGGCCTATACTGACTTTCATATCGTAGAACTCCCGCTCGTTGCTGCACCAAACCGAGTAGAACAGGCTGTATCCATCTCCAAGAACACGCATGGCCTTGTACGTGTTGTTCGCGGCAACTGTGAAGATACGAATCTTGTCAGAAATCAATCTTCTCAAATTCATGCCCCGCACCTACTTACCACCTCCGAAGGCGTCATAACCCCGCTGAGTTCCCCAGAACTCGACGTTGACGTGGTCGTGCTTGGGGTCGTTCTGCGCCTTCTCGATGCCTTCCTCGGAGAAGGGAATGGGAGATCCATCAAAATCCTCCCGCAGGGGAATCTTGGCAAGCGAAAAGATGGTTGGAGCGACATCGGTGTGGGTCGTGACGAAGTCGACCGTTTTGCCCTTGGGCACACCGGGACCACGAATCAGGAACGGCACATTGATGTCCTCTTCAATAGCGCACATCTTTCCGGGCTTGAGACGGTGCTGACCGATATGGAAGCCATTGTCGGACGTGAATATAACGTACGTGTTGTCAAGGACGCCTGCTTGGTCGAGGCGGTTGATGACGGCGTCGACCATCTCGTCGACGGACTGCAGCGTCTGGAGACGGCGGCGGTAGTAGTTGTCGCCGTAGGCCACCTCGGTGGCATTCAGCTGCGGAATGATCAGGCCCCAGTTGGCCATACTGGGCTGTGGGCAAATTAGCCATCATTATTGGACCCTGCACAGATGAGTCTGTGAAGTCTCTCACCTTGTCAGGGTTGAAATTGTAAGTGCGAGGCACAGTGACATTGGCGAACAGATTCTCGTGTCTCTTTGCCGGGATAGGCGGTGTGGCACCGGGACTTGTTTCGCCGCCAAGGCCATTGTTGTGAGGACCAATGGGTGCAACACCGAGGAAGAAGGGCTTGCTGCCATTAAATCTGAGGGCATCATCCAAGAAACCCAACGCCCTTTCGGCAACCAAATCGTTGCTGTACTCGCCAGGGAAGGTCTGAGGCGGGCTTTGGTTTCTCTGGAACGTAGCGTTCAGATAGAGGTAAGTGTTGGGATCCAAAAGAACTAATTTACAGAAATCAGCAAAACGATGGTTCATTCTAGGGTTCCGGTCAACAACTTACAGTCGCTGCCAGTCCAGCCCTTAGGGAAAGGGTTGTTCCAGTTGTCGGTGTTATGGGCGTTAAATAGCTTGCCAGTATAGTAGGTATTGTATCCGGCGTCTTGGAGCCACACAGGCAGGTATTTTTCATTGTAGCCTTGAGACACGAACTTGGGGTAACCGCCTGCAATCATCGTTAGGGACCTCTGTCTACCACATGATAAGAGATTGGCATGCATCGCAACGCACCGTGAGGAGGAGTGACGTAAGTAACGTTGGTGTTGTGCGCGGCCTGGCCCGTCAGCAGGCTGACACGGGACGGACAGCAAATTGCAATTGTACAGAAATGTTTGCGGTAATATGTGCCTTCTTTAACAAAGTGCTTCTGAACATAGGGCATATAGTCAAGAGAGCCCAGCTGCTCGTCCTGGTCATCTGTCATGATAAAAACAATGTTGGGCTGGCGCTGCTGCACGTCCTGGGCAACAACGGCAATGGCACCAAGTGCCAGCGTTGCCAGCGTCGACAAGCCAGGGACCAGGAGCATGATGGTTGTCTTCTCGAAACACCGCAAGTTCGGGTACGAGTAGCAGTTCACCAAAACAACTCCGATCAGTCCGCCGAGAGCAAGGGGATTCTTATGTGCTGTGCCCTAGTCAGCTATGATGGAGCAGCCCAGAGGGGGGGGGGGGGGGGGGGCAACGTCCAGAGTCCATTTCAATCGATTACAGCGCCCCCTCAACAACCTGAATGGAGGAACGAATCCGGTCCTAGTGCAGTCGACAGGGCCCCAGTAGTACTATCAGTGGGTCCCCGAGCGGTTGCCCAGGTGTTGGCCAACTGGATAGGACTTAGACCAGTTGGACGGACCTTGGGACCTTGCCAACAGCCATCGCAATTGGAGCTGTCGATTTCGCCATTCTCCCCGCTAGCCTAATCTCCACGTTTTGTTCGTCAGATAAGGGTGTTTTTCGGTTTCAGTTCCAGTTGAAATAATATGTGCAGCCGCCGCTATATACTGGATGGCATGGAGGATTTTCTATGGAGCCGATCGGCTTTAATCGTTTTTCTTTCTCTACGCGGTCATTCGCGAGAGAGAAAAAAAAAGATGACAGGCCCTCCCTTATTCTTGGTTACGCCGGAAGCTGTGACATCGACATCGAGGGATCTGTATGAGGTAGATTCAATGACTCACATAGCAGGGCAACTTTTGACAAGTGTGACCAGAAACACCTGGTTAAGCGAATCGTTTCATTCTAGTCACTTACTGCTTCTTAGATAATTATTCATGGCAGGTACCATAGCATAGATTAGCATTGATATAGGCATACAATTAACTCATTGAGGTTCAATCCCGCCGAGATAGGGGCTGATTATCGAGCTTAATAATCCTGGTCGGAAATCCGTAATCGGCTGCTTTTTACATAAAACTACAATCCCGCTATCTTCACAGAGGACCGAAAACCCTGCACTTGCGAATCCACCTCTTTCAGATATAAGATAAAGGAGCGAAACATGATCAGAGGCGATTCTACTACAGGTTTGTGAAGTCAACAGTCGGACCAAAGCCTCACACAACTCAAGTCGAGCGCAGGAAACTACCAAAAACGGAATTGAACGTGAGGCAACTTGGACAACATGTTATATCTAAGAGCGGAGGGTTTAGCTGGCCCTTGAACCGTGTTCATGGCCATCTCATGACTCGGAACGAGGCTGTACGATTCATAGGTTCTCGGATCTCCCATCCTTCCAACGCATCCAATCAACAATTGGATATCCGCGAAAATGGCCGGCTGGCGCAATGGTAGCGCTTCAGACTTCTATTAAATAGTAATCTGGAGGTTGTGGGTTCGAGCCCCACGTCGGTCAATTCTTTTTGGGCACCACTCTCGGATTGGCGTGGGGTTTTCATTGTGTTTCTCAGCTGTTCTGTTCTGTTTGTTGTGTTGGTTAAGACATGTAAGGTGGTGAAGAACGTAGGGTGCATACATGCACATATGTAACGCCGCATGTAATGGACTTTTCTCAAATGGGTACAGACTTTTTATTGAGCTTTGCATTGTTACGGATGCCTTTCATGACTTTTGCTCTTCAGTACGCAAAGGTGACTGACTGGATTGCAGAGTTCGCCCTTTCCATGAAAGGATGGATGTAGTACTACCTAAGTAAGTAGGTACTGTACGTCATGCCGTGGTTGTGGTGCAGCCAGACGGTGTCCAAGTCCGGCCTTCGCTTCTCACCTGGGGCTCACCGAGATGCCCCACTTAATTCCTGGGCGGTCGCATAGTCAATCGTAAACTGCCCGCGACAAGCTCCAGCTCAGCTTTCTCTCGGCAAGCTTCAGAGCCCAAATTCCAAAATGGTAAGTCCCGGCGTCTCCCCCCTGGGCTCAACGACCCGGCGACCCAGATGCGTGTATACAGTGTCTTATCCGATGCTTCAGCTAGCTAACGCGACCGCCACAGTTACCCCTCGGCCTCTTGAACGCTGCCCAAGGGCACCCCATGCTCGTGGAGCTGAAGAACGGCGAAACCCTCAACGGCCATCTGGTCATGTGCGATACTTGGATGAATCTGACCTTGAAGGAGGTTGTCCAGACTAGTCCAGTACGCGCTGCCCGCCGATCCCTCCATACCATGCCGCGCGACTGACGATGATGCAGGAAGGCGACAAGTTCGTCAAGATCCCCGAAGTTTATGTGAAAGGAAACAATGTATGATCCGAACCCCCGCACCTTTCCTCTCCACAGTTCAAAGCAGTACTGATGCGCCCCCTCCAGATCAAGTACCTGCGAGTCCCCGACGACATCATCGACGTGGTCAAGGAGAACCAGGCGAACCACCAGCAAGGAGGCTTCCGTGGTGGTAGAGGCGGAAACAGAGGAGATCACGGCGGTCGCGGCGGCGACAGAGGCAGAGGCAGAGGTCAGGGCCGTGGAGGACGGGGGCGTGGTAACCGTGGTGGCTCATGAGGATGTCCCCGACACGATTCCGACAAGCCAGCACCTGGCGCACCGACGCCCACGGTGGCCATACATAATGCCAATGGAGAGAATACTCTTCGAGTGCAGACACCATTTCTGGAAGTCTTGCGCAGGACGAACAAGGCATGCGAGTGTCATCCTGGGCTGATGGCCACGGAGAATAGAGCCAGCCACCATTGGCCGCACCTAGAAGGCACGCAAACCAACAGAATCATTTTACGTACTCAAGACACAAAAAAGGAAAGCCCGTAGGAGAGGCCAACGAAAATTCCTAATCATATGCAATGTGAACCTAACTGGTTGCTGCTGATCTTGGCCTTGGGCAAGCATTGCCTCCAATGTCACGTGACTGATTGGACCAGGAACATCTCGGTGAAAGCAGCCCCGAAATCTGCAAGTTAGAAGCTCCTCCCCCCCCAAGATTCTCTCTCTTCCCCGCGCCCACCCACTCGCATCGTCAGCTCCATGTCGGGCTCTCGGGTTGTATTCGATGGCTTATGGCGCTGCCTCTGTCCTTCCACCGACGCATACGTAGCGGCCAGACTGCTCAATTCCCCCATCATTCCTCGAGCATCGATTGCAACGAACCACCGAAGGCAGGCCGTCCAGTCCTCCTGCTCACACGCTATTCGCACACAATGTCGTCGATACTCCGCAGCCACGTCTCCCGCACTACACTCGGAAGTCGATGCAAGGGTGCCTGGAAATGACGAGGCATTAGACGCAAATGCGACTACACGGGAAAAACGGCACGATGCGGCGCCGACCGACCCTGTACCCGACCCAGACGAACAGCTTCGAGCAGCGCCATTATCTGCTATTTACGAGGCTCTACAGGCCTTGCATGGCCAGCCAAAGACTTTTCAGAAAGTAGCAACGTTCATCACACACTTGGTCCAGTCTCGGAATGCTGAGCTGGACTCTACACTGTACGAGCATCTAGTAGTTGCGACGGCCGACGTTCAGGGCTCAGCAGCAATGCTGGCCCAGCTGTTTACCGAGATGAAGCAGCTACAGCTCAAGCCAACCACCTCAATATGCCATGGTGCATTGGCTGTATGTCTTCTCCCAGAGTTGTTAGCGGGTTGGCCTTCCACTGACTTCATTCTAGGCACTCGCCGTACATCCCGACTACTTGGTCCGAAACGAGGTCCTTGCCGCCATGAAGCAGTCCTGGATCGAGGTTGGCATCGAAGGGCACAGCCACCATGCCCTTGGTCTACTGCGTGATGGACAGTTTGAAATGGCGCTCGACGCATTAGATGCCATGATTGACAAGGGCATACGTATCCCCTCGTGGGTTTACGACATCTTCATATTTGTGTTTGCCCAACACGGATTCATTGACGAAGCCGTCAAGCTGGCCCACAGCAAGGCTCATAGCGGAAACACAACGAATCTTACAGTGTGGTATATGCTTCTGGACGCGTGCGCCCAGGTGCATCACTACGAAGGCACGAAGTACATATGGGGCAGGCTGCTGGAGACCGACAGAGAGCATTTATCAGATGGCACTCTTCTCAATATCATCAATACGGCCACGAGGCAGCACGACTATGAGCTTGTTACAAGCGCGGCCAGCCTGATTACCCAAAGGGGTAGCAAGTTGTCTGCTCACCACTACGAGGCTCTGATTGAATGCTACGGCGGCGCAGGAGACTTGGAGAGTGCTCTGCGGGTTCTCTGCATCATGTTCAAGGCTATTTCCGTTGCGCCGTATGCTAGCACACGCTCGATATACAGGTGGATCAAGAATCAGCCAGAGAGCATTGACACTGCGCTCAAGACACTGACGGAATTGGTGCGCATTTACAAGGTCCCCATTGCAGCCCTCAACGTTCTCATTGAAGCTGCAGTAGATACCCATGGGTATGAAAAGGCCTTGGAGATCTACCGGAACGCTCACAAGTACACTGAGGCGACTCCCAACCATGTCACAATCCGATACGTCCTGCAGGCGTGCGACGACATGGACTCTCTCAAAGTTTTGGTGGCGGAGAACCCAGAGCTGGCGCTGAAAGGGGACCGGAACGCTTTTGGCAAGGCCATATACGAGTACACCGTATCCGGAGACCTCGACCTTGCCTACAAGTGCGTAGAACAGTATGGCGAGGCTCCTGAAGCTGCCAACGGCGGACCGCCTGGCAAGACAGAAGCATGGATTCCCAGAAAGACACTGCTCGCACTCATTAGGAAATCTCTCGACGCGCAGGATGAGCGCGTTTGGTGGCTGATGGAGCAGGCTGAGCGACGAAATATCGACGTCCAAACTGGCATCGCGAAGCTGATGGCGTCTTTTGCGGATGAAGTCAAGCGTAGAACAGGATTGGCGCAAGAGGATCGCGCGTTGAGCGATGATCTAGAGCCGCGACATCATTCTACATCGTGACCCCGGGAAAAAGCTAGTCAGTACGGTTTGCCCGAGCTTGCTTGGTCTGCATACCTTGTCGTGCAAGAAAAGAAAAATTCATCGCGGTACAGAAATATACCGTGATAGTTGTACAACTCACTTGTGGCCCATTGCACTCAACGCCTCATGCCCCAATGCATACACACCCAGTATAAATTCAGTGACACATGACCTGCATTCCTAGAAACCCCGAACTGTTGGATCGGAAGGGCGGCAACCTTATTTTGATATCGACGCAAACACCGATTCCCTCTGGGCCCCTGAGGTGATGACGCTGACGTAGCGTCCAGAGTCCTGGCCCCTCCCTCGGTGGAGAGGTTGACTCTAACCGTGTCTGAACTCCTGGATTACCGAAACTGCTGCTGCATATCTCGGTGAGACTATAGACTATGTCAGAAAAGAAGGGAAGCTAAAGCATCAGATGTGTCACCCCGTCTCCGGCCTGCCTTTCGATCGAATTAATAATGATAAGTTAGTAGGTAGGCAGGCAGGCAGGCCATGGAATCACATTGAATTAGACTTGGCCCAACAGCAAACAAGCTTGGTCACTAGTCTGGCCAATGAGGAGCGGCGCAGATGGAGATCTGTTGAATCTGCCGGGGGTCGCTGATAAATCCGACCAAAGCCCGGGGAAGATTAGTGATACTGCACTGCCTTTGTACTATTAGCCGTTATCTCGCATTCCCGGTTCTGTCTTGGCAGGCGGCCTGATACTAACACTTCGACTTAATGATGCATTGGAAACGCGCGCATTCACTCCCTTGCATCGCTGGTCCAACGCCCGTAGACTCGCACGCCATATTGCGGTGCACGTGTGTCACGTCAGCGCTAGCACTCTTCTCCCTTATCAATCTAGCCACTCGGATCAATGGCATGCGCTATGTCCAGATGGATGGAAAGAAAAGGAACCAATGCCATGGGGACACGCTCAGATCTGACCGCCTATGAAGGTGAAGGAGAAAGATTTACGCCGCCTGCGTCCTCCCCGTACCCCCCACACCACCCCTGTGCGCTAACTCCGTACAGGCCCGGGGCATTCGAAAACACGGCTCGGAGGTTGATTCATAATACCACACGCATTGGAAATAGACAATTGCGCGGCACCGCAACTCTGGCTCGTGGCTCGCAAATGCCCTGGACGGATCAATTCTTCGAGCCATGCTCAGTCATCAACATCCAGCCATGAAACTAACAAGTCTTTCCGGCACCATTGTGCTTCTGGTTCATGGCCAAGCTGAAATGAAGTATTTAGATAGAGTGACTCTCCGGTTCGATTTTGTCCATTGTCTTATCAAACCAACAAGTCATTTCTCAACCATCATACCCCATACGGCAGGGACCTTGACGCCTTGAAGCACACACATCAGACTCTTATACATACATACAGGCTTTGCCTACTCTACGCCAGACTCCATACAAGTCTCAAGCTCCCAAAATCGTTTTCCTAGGCCGCCACATCACCTTTAGCTATCCCGA